GAAAACAAAAGTCTAATTAAGGTTAGAGTCACGGTAACAAAATTACGAAGACAAACCACATTGAAATATTTACAGGAAAAAGACAAGTAAAAGAAAAAAATAACGACGGAGATAAAACAAAGGAAACTCGAAAGATCAACGAGAACCAAACATTCTGATATGAGTGACAAGAAAATTAACCGCAGTGGGAAAATTAATACTTTAAATGAAAAGAAAACATTACGTAATAAGCTTAAAAAAGCATATGGATCCACCTGGGACCTATACAGTGGAGGGAGCATTAGGGAAAGTTAGTACATGAAAAAATGTTAAAGCGTAGCCAGTCAGCGTTAAACTTTGAGATAAAAACAGAAACAGAAGCTAATTGAGGCCCGTGGAAAGGGAGGCTTTTATCAGCAGTTGCAGAAAAAAGACCTTTTTGTCGGTTGCAAAATAATGGGACTCTCCTGTTGGGGTTCTGTGGCCTGACTAAAGATAAGCTGATCAAGTTACAACCTCAATAGTTTACAGAGAAATGGATTACACACAAAGTATGTATGTATGTATGTATGTGCATATATATTATATATATATAATATATATATATATATATATATATATAGATAGAGATATTCACACGCACACATATATAGAATATATATATATATATGTATATATTGTATATATGTATATATCATAATTATATATATATAATATATATATGTATATATATATATATATATATATTATATATATATATATATATTATACATACATATATATATATATACATATATATATATGTATGTATATGTATCTCTATATATACTCATACATATATTCATATCTATATGCATATAAGTATATGTATACATATACATACATACACACATCCATACGTAAACATATACGTGTAAGGTTGTATAAAACCAACCACCTGTAGTACCATTGAATCCTCGGAAAGCAGAAGAAGCTGTAATCTCGAAAATAAAAAAATCTGGAAAAAAAAAGAAAAAAGAAAGGGAAAAATAAATCGAAAAATAGCAGAAAATAGCACGTTCTAGATTTTTTTTTTCCACCTCATCTGGGACTGCCAGTGAGCTCCGCGCTGAAGTCTGAAATCGACCTTTCTTTGAAGCCGAAAGCGGGTGATAGTTATTTCCCCGAGGACTTTGCGTTCGCCAGTCACGCTGCAGCCTCTTTGTGCAGGCTGCGACAGTGAGAGGAGTCCGGGAAAGCAGTTCACTTTAAAATGCATGTAAGAGGGACTTTAAACAAGGGGAATTTCTCCATCATTTTGGCATTATGTCGATCCTGTTTCTACCAATCAGAATCGGGGTTCTTGGCGTAAAAAAAAGAAAATGTGTTGGGCGGTCTTGTGCACGAAGAGAAAAGGAGTAATCTTCCGACAGTCTAGTGTTAAATAATTAATAGATACATTAAGCGGTAGACAGTACCTTTTTTGCATATACACATATATTATATATATATACATAATATATATTATATATATATATATATATATATATGTATATATACATATATATATATATATATATATATATATATATATATATATACATATATATATATATATATATATATATATATATACATATATGTGTATTATATTATATATATATATATATATATATATATATATATATATATATATTATATATATATATATATATATATACATACATATATGTGTATATATATATATATGTATATATATATAATATATATATATATATATATATATATATATATATATATATGTATGTATGTATATTTACACCTGTAAGATAAAACAACACATAAGAAATGAATGAGGTTTGGCGCACCTTTTAGCTAAGCCTCGCTGAAGGGCAAATAAACTCGGACGCCATTTAACAGGCGAAACACACCACAAAACTGAATAACAAAGGGATTCATTCATACATCTTGGATGACCCAGATCATCAGAACCATCCGCCCCGATCTCGAGGAGGAATAATGGAAGCGGCACTGTGATGAAACCCCTGCCAAGCGCTTCTAAGGAATCACACCGTGTTTGTACAGAGCGCAGTTTGAGCTAATATTGGAATACCGTGGTGCCTCCGAACGCATTAGCGGGGCAGCCCTCGATCCCTTCAGGCGGTACAGAACGTTGCCCTCGAATGGCTAACGGGGATGAGATGTCTGGTCTGCAGCACAAAGCTGCAAGCCCCAAGCTTTAATCAATAAGCTGCACACTCTGGCCAACCGTGTGCGAGGTACGCTTGGACATCCAGATATGCAGAAATGAATATTACAGACGTACGCAGCGCTACTGTGCAAAAACACAGCAGATAACCTATGATATTACCGGCCTCATTTTACTAGCTTTATATATCAAATGGGGACATTATGACAAACTTTGGGCAAGGAAAGCCATAGTTCACATCAGTCGCTGGGTTTCTTGCTACCAGTAACACTGACGGATGATATCCCGTGTTTTAACAACTACCAAACGGGACGGGAAGTTCAATGAATATCA